ACAGACAGACAGACAGACAGACAGACAGACAGACAGACAGAGTTACTTTCGCATTTATAATATTAGTTGGGATTGGATAGCACAAAACCGGGAAATATTATTCAAACGATCATCACGCGTGCGAAGTCGCGGGCATAGCTAGTAAAATAAATGAACCATGGACTTAGTCATACATTTAAGTAGGTGTTTACCAGTATTTACATATACGTTCGAATTCTAAATCCTTTTTTGCATAAGCTGCAACACTTCAATTCGATGAGCTTTCTACTAAAGAATGATATCTTCCAACCGTTTTCAGACAAGATTATGTTTACTTAAAGGTCGTTAAAACCTATCTCCGCCAGACAACCTTCAAGTCTATACTTAGAACTCAATGCAATGCCCTTTTGCATGAGGACAAGTCTATATTTAACTAGGTAATACGATCTTGCAAAGTTTTTTGGCGATATTATTTACTTTCAGCTAAGCGATATTCAATATCGAGAAAAGGGAACTTGGTGTAAGTACCTACTCATGGAAATAATTTTGCCAATTTATAAGACCACTTAAGTACCATCTTTGGAAATAAATAAATCTTTGAATTGATTAAGGCCGGGTAGCAGAGAAAATGGCGAAAATGAGGTTTTCATTTTTCATTTTTGAGGTACTAAACAGTAAAATTAAAGGCTAAGATTTTTATTGGGCATAGTTGAGGATATTTTCTAGGGCTATTAACGGATGGAAACACGATTTGATGAAGTTGACTCGATAGAATAAATTCCCAAAGTTACCTCTATTCGTTTTCTAATTATGGTTTTATTTTTAAAATAAGCGATTTGAGATTCTAAATCTTTTACTAAACTAAAGTTCAGAAATAACTTGAGGGCTTTTAACGGATGGAATTTTTATATTGCGTCTTATTTAGTTACTATGTTAAAAAATGTGGAAAAAATCGTCCATGACGGCTTGGACAATCTCAATCAGTCGCGCGGTGGCGCTTACGGAGGACGGACGCGTGTCAGTTTTTTGGCAATATTTTTGACAATGATGACTTTGATGAGTCACAGTATAATAATATCAGTGTTACTGGAGAAAGCTAAAATATTTGATAATTAAGAATTATCAATTTTGTCTACCTATTGAAATTTAACTCGTTCGCATCCTTTTAAACGAAGACTCTACTCATGATACATAGTAAATTCCTTAAATATGAGACAAAACCAATGAGTTAAAATTACATATTAATAGTACCTACATACAATCGTCTTACACTTATTAGAAGAGCACACTGATACAAATAAATAATAAAAAATTAGGTCAGATAGTCAAATATAGAGGCAGCTGCACGTCACTGAAAGACGATTCTGTTTACTCGGCATCTGGGCTGGAGAACATGAACCCTTGTTTACAGATGCAGATGTAAATGGAGTTATAACTGGACAAATTTTACATGAAATGTCTAACAGAAATCAGTTAAATAAAAGACACATACATGGAATACCAATAAAAGACACATACATGGAATAGGTTGCGGAGGGAAAGCTACCTATTATAAACTAGCGGTCGCCCGCGACTTCGTTCGCGTGGACCTCGTTTTACCCCCGTTAGATATCATGTTGATAGATGGCGTTTCACGGCTTCCCCCGAATGAATATTTACGAACGTCATACAGTAGTTTGTCCAGCGCTGTAGATTTTAACCAATGACGATAGGTAGAGTTCGCTTTTTAGACACGTCTTATTTATTTATTGAAATTTATTTCTCACATATCGTCATAAGTTAGCCTATATGTTAATCTGGGTTATAAACAATAATACTATAAAGTTTCAACAAAATCCGTACAGTAGTTTTTGCGTAAAAGAGTAACAAACATCCAGACATCCGAACTTTCGCCTTTATAATATTATAGTAGGATAGGATATTCACAATCCAAACTAATATTTACTATTTAGCATTTACTTACAGTAAATATATTAGTTTGGTTTTCACAATCGAACGGGTGCGAATCGACCCCTTCGGCTTAGGTATCTAAAGTCAAACGATTCTGAAATGTCAAGTGGTATAAAGTTGGGACTAATAAATAACCCATTAAGATAGTAGCGCCATCCTGTCAATGACATACCTGGAACGATAGAGTGTTGGACAACTAATAAAAATGCTTAGTCCTAAATGACTGACGGATATCGTAGAGACCTGAAAGTTGGAAGGTGTGTTCTTTGTATGACGTAGGCATCCGATTTTCCGAAATGGGGTCAAGAAATGAAGGGGGTGAAATAAGGGGGCAAAGTTTGTATGGGACAGTGATTATTTGGTTCAATCTACTTGAAATTTTGCTTAACAATTCCTTAATATTATAATTTATGACAAACGTGTAAAAGGGGTAGAAAGTTATTTTGGGAGTCTTACTGCTTTTGATTTATTTACTTTTTATTTTTACAAGTGTTTGAAAACTCCATGTCAGATTGCAATCAATGTCAAGTGAAATCTCAAATTGAAATGTCTCAATTTCAATGAGGAGGCTCTGCATTTATTCCTAGAATTCCCCTAACACCGTCAAATTACCCTTTCGAATTCAAGACAGTGCAGTTTCCCATCAAAATCTGCTTCGTAATGACTATAAACAAAGCTCAAAGTCAAACTCTAGCGACCTCTGCATAAACTTCCATGAGTGCTCAGAGCGGGTGCCTGCGGCAGGTAACCGCGTGTGATGCTCATAGTGATTTTCAATACAGAGCCCCGTACATACGTTATACATAAATTATGGAAAGAAAACACCCAGACCAATACAAAAAAATATGTATGCAATTTTAGTATGATATTTTTATTTATTAATAAACAAAAAGACTGAACAAAATTGATGCGTGTACTGATTAATGTAATTAACCACATGCAAAGTTTCGTGAATTGCAACAACTATAATTTATTATCCAAGCTCTAAATAATCGCTACTAAGAGTAACTGATCATAAAATGTTTTTCCAATCGCTCAAGCTCCCGAGAAATACAAACTTATTATACATATTAACACCCAGACCCATCACAGAAATTAAAATTGAACCAAACCCAAACTTGATGCGATTGTGTCGTTTTATTGCGAATTATCTTCCAGCTCCATCATTAGACCCCGATTACTATAAAGAATTAAAATACTCATCAATACAAAACGAACGAGCCCAAACTCGATGCATTCAAGTCGTTTTATTATAGAGTTCCTATGGCCACCTTCCAGCTCCATCATCAGATCAGCTCCATGTCATCATAATACTGCATGGTCATCCAAATCACATGTGTTTGCGAAATTTCAGCTTAATCGGTTGCCTGGAAGTGGGTCTTAATTCAGTTTGCAAGATTCCACCCATACAAATATGAGCCAGTCGTTGTAATATGACGTCACGCGCATAAAATTAGTGACCGACCGAATATTCGTTTTCGTTTTCGTTTTCGGCCATTTTCGGCCCAAAAATGGACATTCGGCCATATTTTCGTTTTCGGCCAAAAACCAGCCGAAGCTTCGGCCAAACCGAATATCAGAAATACGTGAATAAGATGGTGACGTTTATCGTTCCGATATCTTCGGGAGTGAATCTGGTGCACTCATGGTTCCAATCAGACTTGAACGGACGCGGTATTGTCACACTCTTTGGAAGTTGTGAAGTGAGGTTACGTTATGAACAGTGTCCAGCGAGAATTTTCCAAGTTCAAAATTGAATACAAATAAAACCAAAGTTTAATTGTTTCAAAATAGAGTCTAATGCGGATTTGAAATACGCCATGAGTCTGGTCGGGAGCCTACAGAGCGTTCGCAGTTGAACAATAAGAAGTATTTGAAATGTATTGTCGAATGATCGATGAATGTCTGATACCACAACTGCAACTGCATCCCGGTCAACTACGTAACTCTATTTCAGCAAGAAGGTGTCTCACCACACACGGAGAGTATCTCGATGGAGACACTGAGGACTTTTTTTTTTTTTTTTCAAATAAATGATCAGCAAGTACAGGGACATACCCTAGCTGCCTCGGTCACCAGATCTCACACCATGCGACTTTTTCTTGTGGGGATATCTCAAGTCAAAAGTTTACAGCAAACAATCCTTAAATAAACCGTCGACTGGGTAGCCAGACATCCGCAGTTTAAGGGATTTATTCAGGTTCTGTAAGAAAATATCCGCCTTGAAGTTGCAGGAAAATTATTAGCGCGATTTGCTCTCGCATAGTTGCGAATGTAAGGGTCATCATTTAAAAGACATTGCCTATAAAAAATTAAATCCGCATTGTTAAACTCCAGTTTGCATAAGTAATAAATAATAAAAAATCATTAATTTATTTGTATTCATTTTTGAAAAATTCCCACTGGACATCCTTTATTTCTTCTTTACTTCCCAATATTTCATTATACACCGAAAATAATATTCTACTAAGAATTCATAATTTTTTTTTTGTGTTTTAAGGCCGGTTTTCTTTAATCAATCCTTATCAAAATCAACTGTCAAACGTCATTATGTTTTTGGTCAAAACATTAACGGTTTTCAAAGTTTGTACATAATTTTAGATTGAAATTTGAGAGTTGAAGGTCATTTTCGTTTTCGTTTTCGTTTTCGGCCGAAAATGAGACTGCAGCCGAAGCTTCGTTTTCGTTTCCGTTTTCGGCTGAAAATCAATATTCGGTCGGACACTACATAAAATGGCGGGCCGGCCGCCGCCCGCACTTTTAAAATTCAATATCTTGGAAACTAATTAACGTATCGAAATAATTCTTTCACGTGTATTTTTTATTTTTAACAGAGAATACAGAAAGCTAAAAAACAAAATTAGTGAACATTCTTCATTATAGGTAGAGTTTGAATTAGGCTCTACTTTTTTTAATTTTGGAGTTATAAAATTCAGGGCGAAGGCTTAGGCGTAGGCGGCATCCTTACAAAACCATAATAAACTACATACATGCAAACTTCTTCTAAAACATAGACTAAATTTTTTAAGTCATCAAGTTTTAAGTGAAGAACGTCAAAGTCGTCAGTCATTACATAATCGCAAAAGTTTTGAATTGTAAAATTTTGATTCAACCTACCTACTAAAATTTTAAGAAATTTACGAAATGCTTTCAAGAATGCTGCGAGCGACTATGAAATTGGGGGAGTGGAAGAAATTGGCGGTGCTAAATATGAGGGGGAAAAGGAGGTATTCGGAGCTGGTGCCTCCCAACCAGTACGACGTGCCCATCCCGAACAGGCTGAAGCTGGGCTACGCGCTGAAGGTCCACTGGGAGATTATCCCGCTGTTCGTCACCACTTGCGCCGCCATGAGCCTGTTGTTCGGCTCTATTATTTGGGCTTGCTGGCACAAGGTTGGTAGTGCATTTATGTATTTTCTGTAAGTGATAGTGGATGATATTGCTGTCATGAGCAAGTCATCATCTAATATTAAAGAAACGTGGGTGGTTGGGCCTATGTCCGAATTTCTTATCTTCCTTTTCTTCGGTGACTCCAACTCTCAAAATTATCGAGCTGCATGAGATGGTTTCCCGCCAATCTGTTTATCGGATTCGGGGACAGCACCTTCGCAGGAGTTAAAAAAAAGACTCGTTGTCTTTGCACGAATGTGAAAAGTCCGCTGAATATATTGAAATAATAAAACCGCAAGTAAACCGCAAGAAATATCGACGGGTCGACCCTCGAAGCCTGGTCTCCGTCTCCTGATCCGCAGGTTGGTGGTTTCCGTTTTATGCAGCTGTATTTTTGAGTTGTTTGGAGTCACCAACCAACCCCCGCATCATCTTTCTTCTCCGCAATTTATTCCTGGTGTGGCTATTTACACGCCACACCAGTGGGTCTGATAATTATAAAAACGAAAGAGTCAAAAGAAATCTTTCATTAATTTTATCACATTAGATTAAACGAAAACAAAACATTGCTAACGCGTTTGTCTTTTACGTGATTATAGCGATACCACCTGATAAGCAAATATTTGAATTTTGCAGCTTGTCCGTGATCTCTGAGGTTATGGTGTAAGGCGGGTCGTCACATTCCTTACAATATGGTTGAGCGAAGAGATGGCTGGTTCAATCGTCATAATAATGTCTGTGAACGGGCGTTGCTCCATAGCTGTAGAACTGGAAATCTACTCGTGTTAATGTATAGTATTAAAATAGTAAGTCACGGGTCTTAACGCGACGTATATTAATGAGTTACATTATGTACTCACGGCTTGACTTTCGCGAGTCTTCAAGCCCGCCCGAACGGACGACGCTGCGAACCGCCAGTCTGCTTGTGACCACGGCTGCAGCATCGCAGCCGAAACGTCAAGCCGTGAGTACATAATGTATAGATGACCCACGCTGAACTGTCCCACCAAACTCAATGACAGGGGGGCGCTACCATCGTTCAACTATATGGTTTCCAACATGGCAAAAATCTGAACCAGCGATCCGGTATTGACGGTGGCGCCCCACTGTCAATGTCATCGACAGGACAGTCCAGTATTTTGGAACTTTAACTCATTAATAAACGTCGTGTTAAGACCCGTGACTTACTATTTTAGTTGAAATGGAACGCGAAAGTTTAAAATGTGTTTTATTGTTTTCCAGGTGGACGTAGTGTTCAGCACGCACAACCGCGACAACATCTCGCGCACGATGGACCTGCGCAACCCGTCCATCCACAAGATAGTGCTCATCAACCAGCGCTACGAGCCGTGGCCGGAGATGGCCGACCTCCTCGACAAGATGCGCGTGGCTGAGAGGCGAGTGCTGGCGCGCGCGCAGTCTTGCAGCTTCGCATAACACAACGGAACAAAAATACTCAAACCAACAGATCTTTGCAGTCGCCAGCTGTGAAGATCTCAAATTAATTCGGAATGAGGTTTATGAAAACACGTGTGTAAGTTACTACTCCAAGTGATGATCTGGGACAGTGCAACGTGGTAATTGCCATGACTTGTAAGTCATAAAATGTGAACCAAAATGATTGTGTTGTCTCGTTCTACTTGTGCTTGTAAGTGAAGTAGCTGTATTGACGATTTTTTCAAATAAACACCTATCTTCCGATTTTTTGGTTTGATTGCTTTGTTGCTATGTACTTGAATAGCTGGATCGAGGAAAAAATTAGATCTAAGAAATTAAAGAGCGAACTATCCATGGTCGACGTAATCCTGGGATCACACACCAAGAGCTAGCACACGAAGGAAGCAGGCACTACGGAGTTATTGCGGTTTCGCTTCGCGGTAATTAAAAAAATAAATAAGCAAAAAATATTAATTTATTAAAAAGCTTCACAATAATTTATCAAGGGGTACGTTACATAAACGTTACAATAGGGCATTTCACTTGTACAGGCAAAAGGAAGCAGAAGTTCTCAAGTCCGTTATTGTGGCACTTGGCTCTTGAAGTCTAGTGTGATGCTGGTCTTAGGAACAGCTGGAATTCACTGATCTTCTCATATTGATAAAGAAGCATCTGCGGTTTTGCCATTCTTCTTCTGATTTCCAAATGGTCATCACTAGTCTTCACTCCAAGTGCGGCGCTGCAGAAGTGACGTCACCTACGGGTGGCCGCACGACAGAGCGCGGACGAGCGCGCGTTTCTCCTAAGGGTGATTGCACGACTGAGCGCGGACAAGCGCGCGTTTCTCCGCCATCTTCATCTTGTCCAGCACGTCCTGCATCTCTGGCCAGGGCTCGTAGCGCTGGTTGATGGTTATCACCTTGTGCACGGACGGGTTCCGCAGGTCCATGGTACGGGATATGTTCTCGCGGTTGTGCGTGCTGAACACTATGTCCACCTGCAAGATCAATAAAAATATTAATTATAGTTACTATTCTGTACCTTTGGCGTGCTATTGAGCCGCGCAAAACTGCACCCCCAACTGCTACGGTTTTCAAATGATGTTTCAAAATGACCAAAGTAATCTTGTCTTAGATCTGAGACAAAGCAGTTGACAGAGGTTGCACAGATATTTGACAAAGCATAGGAGAGGTTAAGAGAAGCTATAATCTTTATTACCTAACCAAAAAAACAGGACTAAAGGATTTGCCACACTGCTGCACTGGATGCATTCTACGGTCTGCTGTTCATAAGTTGTTCATACATGATGCGGGCTGCGCTCACTTTGCCCCACCGCAGACCACAGAACGCACCAGTGTAGAATCCCGTAAAGTTCAAGGTAAAAAGATATGCTTAGATTGAGCTAGGTAATGTGTACAAAAACATATTAAACAAGTCTGAAGTCACCTTATTCCTGGCGGCGTAAATGATCGCTACCACCACGAGCGCGATCGAGGTGAAGGTGGTTAACCCTTCATTTGATTTTGTTCACTGGGATGAACATTCAATTGAAAAAAATAATATGCCGAGTGCATACGTCTTAATTTTTGGTAAGTTTTTTTTTTCACTAGAAAATATACTTAAGTTTTGGTAGAAAAATATTTTTATGTGCTAGTCACAGTCTGAAAGTGTTAATTTTAGCCAAAATGCCGGCCATAGCGAAGACCAGGCTTTAGTGTCAAGGTGTTTATTCAAGCTTTACATGTTTTTTATTATAATTGAGTAATGACAGTGGTTTTAACGTATTGCATAGTGTTCATGCTTAATAACTTGATTGATTTACAATGCTCATTTAATAAATAAGCCATGTTATACCAGGTCAAAGTCGAGTGTTCATCCCAGTGAACATTGCCAAATTACTAATAATCTTTGATTGTTCATCCCAGTGAACATTGTCAAATAGGCTATGAACCGTTTATTTTTGCTTAATTTTATTTCAGTGGACTAATTTCTTTATTTAGAGGATTTTTTTATTTTGTTTGGGATGTTGGCAGCTTAATACTGTATATTGCATGAAATGTAATATCAGAATAATGTTTTGTTACTGGTAAAAGTGGACATAATTGTTTTCTAAATTTTCATGCAAAATAATTACATATTTTAATTTAGCGGTTGTTTGTAGATTCAAAGTTTGTAGTTCCAAATAATATTTTTGATTAAAATCATTTTTACTTTTTTATTTAAACCCTGAAGAATATATTTTATAAATGTGGGATCTGTTTTTTTATTATTTAGTGCGACTTGTCCACTATTAAGTTACATGAACAAAAAATTATGATTTTTTCTTTAAAAACATTAAACATTGTTTTACCTCAACGATCAAACAAAATTGTATGGTAATAGTTAATTTCTTACTATTTTGTGCACCAAAAAGCGTTTAATAATATAAATTTTACTTTTTATATGAATAATTATTTTGATTTAATGCCGCTACCCTAAATTGGCAATGTTCACCCCAATGAACAGTTAAAATTCTTCATATATTTGGCAGTGTTCATCGGGATGAACATTGTTTTTTTTCTATTTGGTGAAGTTCCGATTTTTTATATATTTTTTTCTGACCTATAAATAACCCTAAGAACATAAATCCGACGATGTATTTTTATTTTTTGATAAATAATGAGTCTGCCAAATTAAGGGTTAAGAACAGAGGGATGGTCTCCCAGTACTCCTTCAGGACGTGGCCGATCTGCAGCTTCTTTGGGATGGGGATATCGTACTGAGTGGGAGGCATAATGTCGGAGTATTGCCGCACCGGCGCGATCGCCTGGGCGACCGGCCTGGGTGGGACGCGCCATAACTGCTTCACAGATGCCCGTACTAATTTTGAAAACATTTTCTAATACGTCACTTGTAGTTTACATACAAGTAACGTATTATTTAAAATTTAATTCTTCTCATATGCTTCTCATGTCTCATGTTACCAAAACTGTTTTCTCAATTTTCTTTTTCTCTGTCACTGACTGTCAATAGATTGGTTTTTTTGGCATAATTATTAATTAATACAGTGGTGTTTGAAAAATATTAACGAGGTTGTAATACAAATTTGATTTGTAATTCTAGTTAATGAAATCGTCCGTCTTACTACGTTTTGTTATAAAATTATCATTTATTGAAAATACTAGGTATATTAAAATATAAAATGGTTATCACTTAAAAAGTTGTAATAAATAAAAATACTGGCGGGCAATGAAAACTAAAATTTTACGTAAAATAAAAAAAGCGACAAAAGTCAAATGAAATTCAAAAGTCAAACGTTTGTTATATTTTACTATTTTAATTAAAATAAAATTAACTTTAAGCGCAACTGTCTTGGTAATTTTTCAGACGGAAGTAAAAATATGGAAATGTTTTCGTACGATGGATCACATTTACATTACGGGTAAACTTTCGGTACAGAATAAAGGTAAATCTCAGATGATCCTAACTGCATAAGTATTTTTTACCTTGCATATGTAGTATCGATAAAAGTAGGGCCTACATAATCGTAGAAGTAAGAGTATTTACTTCTGTCGTCGACTTCTCATCTCATTAATAAATCTATGAAACAGTAGGTATTTTCTGAAAATTATGTTTCATGCCTACTGAAGCACAGAATCACTCTGCATTAATGATCTGAATCTGATTGATTCAAACCTCCAATTTTCATCAATCAAACATCAAAACTCATTCAACAGCATAACGACGTCCTTTGGCTTTAAGTGTGTGACGCAATCATAGTATACTTGTCAGTGCTTATGCTGCGTTTACACTGCGCGGAAATTAGCCAAGTCAAGTCAAAAATACAGTGGAGTGGGGATGAATAATGAATGAATTTCATCCCCACTCCTCTGTTTTTTTGACTTGACTCGGCTAATTTCCGCATAGTGTAAAAGCAGCATTAAACTTCCAATGCATGCGCAGGCGTCGCTGGGCTGAGGACTGGTAATGACCCTCCGCACCCCGCGCCGCCGCATCTCGCCCCGCACCAAGCGACGGTACCGGGCCATAAAGGATTTCTTGCGACGGGCTTTAGGTAATACACCCACTTTGCGTATTTGTTACTTCTGATCATATCTATCAATAAAAAACAATCGTTTGTTTTTTTCTTCTCATAGTTTTATTGACAGATGACATGAAAATTTTCCAATTGCAGGTAGTTCGTCACAGCCTGACATCAAAATAAATTCCAGTATAGCGATAAATGTCTCAGATTTAAAGCACAAGATAGTGGGCATAGAGCAGCAGCTCAGCGAAGTGAACAAGCATTGCCGCGATTTAGTCTGCCTCGAGAGCAGCTCCAGGAAAGACTCGGAGACACTGGTGTCCGCCGCCGACCGACATGAACTCTCTTCGTTGAAAGAACAAACTGAAATATCATCCACCAAACACGGTCACGGGGCTGAAACTAAACTATTGTATAAAACATCCGAAAGCCATTACAGAAAGTCTGATGACAGCGACTCTTTTGGCAAAGTTTATCATGACTCCAAAGGCAAAGACGTAAAAGTTGCCGATGACATGGCAGCTCAAGGTTATTATAGAGAACCAAAAATAAAGAAAAAAAAGAGCAAACTAGACAACAGATTAAACACAAAGGATGACAGCAATCCCAACCTACGGAAACGCAAGACACGTTCGGTATATGAAAATTTTGTGTCGTCCTATTCTACGAGCTATCATTCCCTCATTGACCCTCGGTCTGGTCAACGTAAGAACTCCCGGGATGCTGAACGTTGTTACGAGGAAGACTATGTCGAAGAATACGTCCAACCTGTTCCCGTAGAAACAAAGGTCAGGAAACACAAAGATTCGATTAGACGCAATAATCCTGACAGGGCATATTATGACCATCATGAAGGGCGACACAGAAACAAACCGAAGAGAAATGCAACTAGAGACTTAGACCAGGAATTCATTGCAGATATTATTAAACGACAGTACAGACCTATGAAAATGTTTGGCCACCGAGAATCAGAGATAAGTCAGTTTTCAGCACCTGTTTGTCGGGACCAGGAATTTTCGCTCCGCGAAAACATTCAGGAAGGTTCAGAATTATGTTCTTGCTGTATTGATGGCCATAAAAAATCTAGATATGAGAACGAACATGAACTCAACGATATGCATAGCATATGCGACACCCGCCTTTATAGTTCCAAACGAAACACACGTCATAGGCATAATCGAAAACATACAGATATTTACAATGATTCTACACAATACGATATTGTACCTGTAAAAGAAAAATCGAGTCCTAAGTCAAGAAGAAAGTTTACAGCTGAATCCATGACACCTTATGGATATTATAAAGAAGTTCCGCCGTCTCCTCGAACACAAAGGCCACGTTTAAATTTAAAAGCCCAATATTTCGATGAATTTGAAGATTACATATTATACAAAAAACAAAGAAATTGTTCACTTAAAAGGTCTAAGAAAAATCCAGATCAATCTGATCATTACGTAACTAACGAATCATCAGAAGTGGTAGATACTCATAAAGGTAAACAAAAATGTAAATCATCCAAAAATCACCCCAATGATAACCATATTCAGCAAGATGCAGGTACAATGAGTAGTCTGCAATCACCAATTTATAATACCGAGGCAATCAACATGACGAATGATAGCGCATTTAACAAAACCCAAGAAACTGATTCATCAACGGATAAAACAGACAAAGCCTTAAGCGAAATCAAAGACATTCTTCAGTGTTTCCTTCAAGAAATAAAAAAGGAAACAACTGTATCGCAATGTGATAATTCCGATATAACTAAAACTGGTGATAAATGCCTTAATGAATTTCGTCAGGATAGTGCCAAATTGAATGCAACAATGATGCCGAACAGTGGCCACAGCGTAAACAACTACAGTATGCCACAATGTAGCATTCCATCTCCTTTTATGCCTCCATTTGCAAGTCCATGTTGCTATCCTGTGCTTCCCGTATGCCCAATGAATTGCGTACAAAACGGTTATATTATGCCCAGTCCAAGTTACACTTGCGCATCGTGCACGAATAATGCTAAAGAAGACGATTTTCCTAAGAATTCCCAATCACCAAAGGAATCTGCTAATAATATCAAGAACAATGAGACCGACGAGCTGATCAAAGAGATTTATAAATTCGTCACCCAAAGCCCAACTAGCAGTCGACGGAAGGATATCCGCGAGAAGTCTGGCATTGAGCCAGCAAAAACTAACGACACCAAAATGCTAACATCACGGAGTGTTGGTGGAAGTTCAAAACTTTCCAAACACGATGCCCAAGTTGAAACTCGGAAGATTAAGTGCTATTCCAAAAGTTGTGAGGCCATAGGCTCCAGGTTTTTGTCAGATACTTCATATAGTCGGACTAACCCTAGTTACTCAGATACCATCCTTGAGAGGCTCAGTCTTGAAGCGACTGCGACAGGATCCGAGTCAGAATTTAGCAGTGAATCCAATACGGTTAAAAAGGTAAATATAATTTTATTGCAGAATAGATAAAATTGATATTTTATACACTAACTAGCTTTCCGCCCGCGGCTTCGCCCGCGTGGAATTTTGTCTGTCACAGAAAAACTTTATCGCGCGCGTCCCTGTTTCAAAAACCGGGATAAAAACTATCCTATGTTCTTTCCCGGGACTCAAACTATCTCTATGCCAAATTTCATCAAAATCGGTTGCGAGGTTTAAGCGGGAAAGCGTAACAGACAGACAGACAGACAGACAGACAGACAGAGTTACTTTCGCATTTATAATATTAGTTGGGTAATACATTTGCCTGTTCTGCATTTAGAAATAACTGCCTAAACTAGCCTAAATTGTTTAAATAATTGCAAAATAGAAAAAAAAATGTTTTTTATTTTCAGCCAAAGAAGAACAGATTTGCAAAGGTGTTGCGATCTTTTGGCCTATTCAAAAAGAAAAAGGATGTTATAGAAGAACTAAGCGAGAGCGAGAGCACTATGGAAGTCGAAGTGAATGCCAAAAAGCCACCTTTCCGCCAAGAAGTTCTCAACTATATGGTGCATCAGCAGGACTACTACAATAGACCACCACAGCCAAGCACTCACTACCCACCACCGCCAGAGTTCCCTCACTCTTACGGCTGCCATGCTGGCTGCCCAGATCACCTTAATCATGTAAATCCAATGCAAGCTTCATATGACCATCATTACCACGCTCAAGAACTGCAACACCAACGGGAAGCTGCTGCCAATTATGCGTCTAAACATCATCGCCCTTCAGCTCCTCCTTACCCACATCCTTATGAGGGACATCAACACCATACTCATAACCAACCCCAAGTCCCATTGTGTCTAAAAGAGATAGAGGTAAAAAGTATAGGAACGCAGAGCGAAAGGAAGATGACATTCTTCAAAAAGTTCTCCAAGAAAGTGCAAGGGCCTACGTACCCAGTCACACAGAAACATGATCAGCAAAGGACCGGAACCACCCAAACGGCTAAGGATAGTAATAAAAATAACAATCGTCCCCCTCTTTTCAATTGGAAGAACTTACAGGCCAAGGTGAACCAACTTGACAACCCACCAACGTTCTCCTATAAGACTCAGAAACAACTAGCTGAAGGAGACATTAAAATGAGAAACGCGATGCTGAAAAAGTTGTTCTACAAGAGGAATCCTTTCTCTCCTCGGAATTTGATCGTGAGGACCCTTCTCGGGAAAGATAAATCAAGTTACGGCGAGCCCCCGATGATGTTCCGCCCCCGAATGTTTTTCTAAGTGTGTTGTGATGTTTAAAAATATGCCGTGTTAAGTAAATGAAGTGAAATTGTACGGTGCGTGTCTATGTCCTGTATTTACGTTAAATGTTTTTAAGAATGTGGTTTAAAACACTTTTTTGTTTTATTGATAGATACATAAATTAAAAAAAAAGAGAACAGGCATAGCAAATAGGCCGCGGAGCTTCCTGCGATAATGGAGGCGTGCAGAAAGATAGATAATCTAGAATTCTGGAAAGCAATAGCACGTGTCTGTAGTTCCAGCCCCCTTAGACAAAACGCACTTTTTGATCGAATCTAAAATCGAATCCGTCAAAACTCCATACAAAAAAGGGGCTTTTCGACCACTTTTCGACTGGTTTGCGATTATAATTTGCACTTTGTCTAGACCCACTGCACTCTCTACTAGGTGCAGCTATGTCAACATGTCCTCCGCGTGCCCACGAGGGGGAGGCCGAATCTAGTCTTGATCCCTTCCGCTTCCGTCGTAGACAAAGAAACAAACCTTCATGTATTAAATTCCTATTTTTTTAAATTCAAGTGATACGCCTAGTATTCCTACTGTGAAAACTGGCGTCACTACTACCAGTTGACAGATGTCAGTCAATGCAAAATATTTTTATCTGTGGTGGTGTTTATCAATCAAGTTCTCGGATCTTCGTCGAGTTTGTGTTTTTTTGTTACATTGTGGTCAAATGTAATAATTACAAGGAAATGAAACGTTAATAGATTTCTAGGGAAATTTTGGAGCCAACACTCCAGAAATCTATGTTCTAAATTCCACCAGACTAATCATAGTGAGCGATGGAACCCATGGAGCAGGATTTAGATGTCTCAATACCCTTGTCGTCGCTGAGCTATGAATTCAGGACACTGGTATCGAATTTGTTGAATACAAGACGTGTAATAACGACTGATGGCCCTAATAAATTACCCAGGTAAATATTACCATGGTATTTCATAAAAAGAGAGCAAGGTCATGATGAACTTGCACTCGACACCCGATTGTTCAATCAAATCATGTCTCTAAATTAGTTGAAAATATACAATGATCCCAATTTTAAATGTTGTATTTGAATTATACCAATCTCCTTGCTTGAAAATAGCATCAAAGTTCACTACAAGTTTACAACCCTTATGGCAATGATGACTACTTTCTGAAAAATTATATTTTTCACTTTCAGAATAATTTTACACTAACCAATTAAGTATAACATTATTACCGTCAGAATTAACTTCAATTGTAACTTAAAATTATAAGGTTAATAACTTAAATGATAATTAATATAATTATTTTTAGGGACTGGAGAGGTTTAGCGTTTTTGTTACAAATATCATCAGAGTTAGCGAGTAGTATAAGTGAGAGTCCCGACAAGACTAGCAGACTCCTGGACATTTGGATGCAGAGGGGGGACGGTACAGCCACACTGGAAACCTTACTTGATTATCTGACACAGCTAGACAGATATGATATATACGATGATATTGTTGAACTTGCAAATCTTGGTAGGCTTATTGGTAAGCATAAAATTTATAAATATGATAAATAATTGTATCTAACACAACATAAACATTAATTATTTTGTTTATCAGATTTGAATCCTTAGTATTAGATTAATTAGTAAAATTTATATGTGTAGATCAAGATAGCATTTTTTTGATTGATTGTTTACACTGATTGTTTAAACTTTGTTGATATTTTTTTATCTGTCACAGTTTTTCTAATGTATTTTTTTTAAGTTAATTGTTTATTTTGGCTGTACTTATACTTTAAATATTTTTATGTAGAGAAATATATTTATTGTAAATATTTAACCAAATAATGAAAATAATGTATCAATGCTGTGATTAATTTCAAACAGGATAAAGGGTTATCAATTTTATTGCTTAATTCATAGAATTGATTGATTACAATATAATATTTAATAAGTAAAAAATTTAAGAAATCTTTGTCATCATTATCATTTGCCCTCTGCTCTTTTATTATTTGACAAGCTGCACATGAATGATTAGAATACTTAATTATTACTTAAGAGCGTTTACGCCGTTTGGCGCAAAAACAGTATTTTTTCAACTCGTTACAATCATTAACCAGTAATATTACAAATATGTTATAGGCATAAATAGTTAGGCAATTTCGTCGTCTAAATAGTTAATTGAGAAAATATTGCGATTAGTTCAGTATTTAAGAATTCTATCAAGATAAGTCCACACAGGTTTTGTAAATTTCCACTTTAGCGTCAGTTTACAAGCTGAAATTTGTATAAAAATACTGTGAAAACGATTTAACAAACATTTATATCCTATAGCATAGATCCTTGGGCAAATAGTTATCTGAGAACCCCACATAACCCACTAGCTGCCCCCGCAGCTGGTGGGTATGAAATGTTATGCATTTTCCGGATAAAAAAAGAATAGTTAACAGGAAAAGTTTGTTTTGAATAGAACCGATTTGAAAAAATCTCTCACCATTAAAATTCAATTTTTTTCTGCTGAACATAGGCTGTATAAAATATTCTCAAAATAGTAAAAAACCTTTGATAATTTACTATTTTATAAAGAATTTATGTATTTATTATTTATTAGGACTAATGTATACCATGATTTATAATTATGGAGTCGGTGTTGGAAGATTGAAGATTTTATACTTTCCTTGAGCTGTCACTTGACAGCCTGGCACACTTTTACGGTGGTGGATCAAAGTATTTTGGTTTGACTATAGAGCGTGAGAAAACGCACACAGTCACAATTATTTTAGTGTGAATAAAAATAGCATCGAAATTACCTAAACTTGACATGCCACGCTAGACGTAAACGCTCTTAATGTAACATTGATAATAATCTGTATTCATTTTATTTTTAATTTTTCAGCAACACCAATTGATCAGTCTATGTTTGGCAATGAAATTTCAAAAATCAATGGGAATAAGAATGATGGCATGATCATCACATACGATGATAGAAGAGACGGATTTCCTCATTACTACCATGCATATGTGCTTTTCGCCCAAAAGGACTGGGAGTTTGTTCGAGAGCTTCTATCTCGGATGAAAGCTTTAGGATATAAGGTAAAAAACTTTCTTGTGTTCTACAAAATGATAAGAACTCACACTGTGAAAATGACTGCCTCAAATCTTAGCTAACTAGAATCACCTGCTCTATGTATTCTTACTAGAATGTACATTGAACATATTTTGCTATCCTTTATCCTTGTCAATATGAATGAATTAGGCAACACCTAACACTGGCCAGACTGCATAGGCGCGGCTCGTTGTACCAAACATATGAAACGCGTGCGTACGCCACTATGGATGGTCCCTCGAATAAAATTTCATGTTTGAGTACATATGAAAGTGTATATTGGGCCTTTTCAAGGCGAGAGTGAAAATATAAAAATAGGCACTTATAGATCAGATATGTACCATGTGCATCTCACTTGTGACCAGGTGCGATTGCGGTCAAATACCTGCCTTGTTTTGCATAAAAAAACAACACGCCGTGCCCGCGTGTTTAGCCTGGCCATGCACTGATGCGCATTCAAATCAGCCAAAGACTTTTGACCAGTATTTTGGCACTTATGAATGTCAAAAATAATGCAATTGGTCATTGTGATTCCGCAGCTATGCACCGAATACGACATCGACGTGGGCTACGGCACGCAGTACGCGCCGGTCGCGCAGCTGATCTCGGAGCGCTGCTACCGGATCATCCTGGTCTACTCGCCGGACTTCCTCGTCAGTCCGGCCAATAGCTTCTACTCGGACTACGCGCAGGCTGTCGGCATTGGTTAGTCTCTATTATTACTTAGCTCTATGGCGGGTTATCACACTACACCGCGGTCCGCGTGATTTCATATAAAAAATCCCGCGCGCGAGCGCGTTGTCAGTGTGTTGTGCCGCGCGTGTTTTCTATACAAACAGGTACTTGCATACAATGATTAAATCTGTCGTCCCGCGTACCGCGACGGAGCGCGGCGCAGTGTGATAATCGCTTATATTATGTCCTATGGAGTGTTATCCTTAAATAAATTAATACACAAGGTTTTTACGTACTTCTTTGCATCACTGAAGAAATCAATTCTCAAGCTTTGAAGTCTCAAGTATCACAGTGAGGTCACGAATATAAACAAAACAGCATTTAAAACCGCATTAAGTTCTATGACGTCAATTGACGTCACTGTGACTAATAGTAAAACTCGAATTGGCTCTCATGTGATGTTTCTGCGATCTTGCGGTTTCTATTGTGACGTGATACACCAAGTCTCATGGTTTGTCTTTAATAAGGGATTTCCCGAATGAAAAATCCGCCAGATGGCAATACGTAGACGGGAGGTCCAAATGCTGCATTATTGGTGGATTTTGACATATCTGTCAATGTCATGTCAAAAATAACCAATCATGCAGCATTTGGACCTCCTGTCTACGTATTGCCATCTGGCGGATTTTTCATACGCGAAAACCCTCATTGACGTCACTGTGACTAACAGTAAAACTCGAATTGGCTCTCATGTGATGTTTCTGCAATCTTGCGGTTTCTATTGTGACGTGATGCACGAAGTCCCATGGTTTGTCTTTAATTGACATTTTGTTTTAATACAGAGTCGAACAAGCGCAACATAATCCCGATTATCTACCGCAAGTGCACGCTGCCGCATCACCTGATGTACTACCACCGGCTGGTGTACAAGCCGGACGAGTGGGCGCCCTACGACTTCTGGGAGAAGCTCGGCCAAACCCTTGGCAAGATTAAACTGCCCGGGTAAGAGTTACTAGCCTTTCGTTCGTTTGTTTCAGCCGAATCACGTCCACTGCTGGATAAAGGCCTCCCCCAAGGATTTCCACAAAGATCGGTCCTGCGCCGCCACCATCCAGGCACCTCCTGCGACCTTCACCAGATCGTCACCTAGCCTACTAACTACTCAGAATAATAATAAGTACTATAGGGCTGACTTCGGTAAAATGATGTGACGTGAGGTGCCAAACTGCGGAAAATGGCGGAGGAAATACATGATTTAGCATGAATTATCATGAATAATATTAACTACTTATTTACCTCTCAGTGTCTTGAGGCAACTTAAAAAAGTACATTCTGTGTTTTTATTCTCAGTGTCTTGAGGCAACTTAAAAAAGTACATTCTGTGTTTTTATTATTATTTAGGCAGTTAAATACTGCACAGTATTTAGTACACCATTTTCTTTATTTTCTTCCATCATACACAAGAATACGCTTGCGTGAGTCAATGTTCGCTCGTATGTGAGGCCTTGTCGAATAGTATCCTGTAGGTGGGCGCCATCGTGTTTTGTTTTCGATGTAAACTCGCGGAGATGAACAGGCCTGCTACTACCAACTAGAGATGGGTAGTGGGTAAAAACCCATTTCACCCGATTGGGTTTAAACTGGGTGATTTGGGTAAAAACCCGGTTTTTACCCATTATCACCCATTCTGGTGGGTGAAAACAAAAATAG